TATCATTTAATTGATAGATTAATTCGATTAATCTTAAATCTTTCTATATTTAAGACAACTACAAAACGAGCATTCCTTACAATTAAATTGGTGAAAACAAAGCTTTATTATAAAATGAATGATTTTCTTGCCAATACTTTAATTGTCTACATAAAAAAAAATGATTGCTATGGTTTAATTGTCTACATAAAAAAAAATGATTGTTATGGACTAATCAACTTCATAATAGATATGATTATGGATGAGTTCTACTCAATAAAAGATCGTCGAAGATTGACTTAGTTTAGAGTTATTTTGCCTATTTTTTCCTTTTATTTTTATATCTATATTGAACATCTTTAACTTTTAGTGTTTATTAAAATTTAATAGAATTTAATTTTGTTATAAGTCTCATATCGACCACTCGAGATGATCATTAAACAGGGAGAGACCTTTGAGACTAAGTAATAACCTACCCCTTGTGCACATAATTCTTTTATAGTAGATATTGCTTTCATGTAGTTGGTTGACTTTGATAAAACTTTTTCTCCTAAAAAATCAAGTAAAAACTTTATTGTATAAATTTCTAAAACTATTCTAAAATAGCATACATGATATTATTCAGGAGACAAATTGATATTTTACCATTTATAAAATTATCAAGTTTCTTTATAAATAGAATATTATACTTCATATTTTTTGAAGAAAAGGATATTAAAGAGCATATAATACAAAAAATACTTAAAAAATAAATAAATAAATAATTTAGTATTCAAGGTATAGCAATTCCTCTCTTATAAAATCATTTCAGGAGATTTATGATATGGTGGTTTGTATGGATTATTGTTCAAGGAGAGATAATTGAGTGGCTTGTGACAACTCAACTTTAAAGAGTTAAGAAAAACCTAAAAAAAGAAAAAAAATTGATTTTCAAGTAACATTTGCTCAATCCTAAACAAACCAATTATAAAATAAGATCCTTGGGACTTGAAAAGACATTAAATTATTGTTTTCGTTGTGTTTACTGTTTGAGAAAACCTTTGATATGATGGTTTGTGTCATAACCTATTTTTAGATTACTCTCCAAATTCATTTCTATTTCTTCAAAAAAAAAAAAGAAGAAAAATAAAGGGCACAAAATAGTGTTGTTTTAAACAACATTATTCATCTTCTTTCCTTGGACGTGCAATAGGGGAAGAAGAAGCCTTTTTTCAAATCTTCTTTTCCTGCCCACTCTCTCCCTTTGACATAACCCATTTAGTGCCACCATTATGGAAGAAACAGAAGACTCATGCCGACCACCATACCCTATGTTTGGATAAGGTAGAGTGGCCCTCTCCCCCTACCTCATATAATTACAGGGGGAGAACCAGAGAAAAAGGAGGAGGATATAGGATAGAGGACAAGAGAACAAGAAACAGAGGATGGAAAAGAGAGAAACAAGAAAAAAAAAACAAAAGGAAAGAAACAAAGGAGAAGAGGGGGATTTTTAAAGGAGAGTTTTCGGAGTGAAAAATAGAGGAGAATGAAAAGAAACTAAGGGGGATGACATTTTGTTTAAAAGAAAGGAATAAAAAAATGCAAAGGGAAGGGAAGAAAAAGGAGATTTGAGGTGAAAAAAAAAAAAACAATGACGTGAGAGATAAGGGAAAGAATATACCAAAAACCAAGAAAAAAAAGAGAGAAACAGAAAAGGGAGAGAACAAAAGCAGACAGAAGAAGAAATATAGAAAAACAAATAGAGTAAAACATAAAGAAGAAAAGCAGAGGAAGGAAAGGAAAGGGAAGAAAAAAAACAGAGAGGAGGAGGGCACGAAAAATACAGAAAAAAAAAACAAAAAAAAGGAAAGAAAGAAGAAGAAGAAATTTGTGCCTCTATATAGAAAGGAAAAATGATAGTGGTCATCATCCTATTCTTCTTACTACTATGAACCACCACCATTTTTCCTCTTCGCTACCACTAACAGCACCATGAGCAACCACCAAGTAAGCTTCCACTTCTACTCTTTCTTTTTTTGGCTTTTGCTTAATTTATTATTGTCTCCACTATTCTGTAAAATGAACTGTGGAGTGTGAATTAATTCACTCTTTATTATTCACATGAACAATGGAGAGTTTTCCCATTATTCATTGGGTCGAACCAGGCCAGACCCAAATCAAAATGGCTAGGTCAAGCCCAGCCCACTCCAAAAAAAATATATATAATTTTTTAAAAAAAATCCTTTCAAATTTTGCGATTTACCCGTGTATTTTTCTATCAACTTTTTTTTAATATTGTTTTGTATTTTTATAGTGTAAAGATACGAATTCGATATTAAAATACTCAATTTTCTCTAAAATATTATGAAAACTTAAAAAAAAATCTTGTTTACATGCATATAGTCAAGTCTTTCAAAGATAAAAAATTATATCGTATTTTCACATAAAAAAAATTTAAAAATATTTCTTAACATGCATTTTCATCTTTAATAACTATGTTATTAAAGTCACGAGAACTAAGCCAATATTTTAAAATTTTCAAAAATTATTTTATTTTCTTTTAATATCAGGGATTATGAACTTATGTGTAAGACATATTTCTAATATTAAATAAGCGTTAGTTTTTTTTTAACATAGAATGGTTAGATTTTACCCGATAAGATAAGAATCTCCTTACCGAGAATAATTTTTCTTAAATGTTAGTCAGACCAACAATTAGAAATACAATAACACCTTAGCATATATTAGACAATTAAACAATGCAGTATACTTCAGAAAGAGTGTATTTTGGGTGTTAATACCTTCCTTTACACAACCAATCTCCATTCTCAATCTCTAAGACAAGTTAGGGTTCTTATGACTAAAATACTAGGTGACATTTTCTATTCTCACTGTCCACAAATAAAAAACAAAAATTTCTTGTCTACCTAATTTTCCTGATTACTTGATATATTCTTGAGAGTGGATGATTGCCGTAGTGTTGTATACGTATGACAGTTTGTAGGGATTATTATTGAAAGTCAGTCAATAAAATTGCCTGTGACAATTCAGTTTTAAAAAGTTATGAAAAACCTAAAAATTTTAATTTTCATGTAATATTTGTTCAAACTCTAAACATCCCTAAATTGTAAAATAACATACTTAGGAGTTGAAAAAAAAAGAATTGGTTAATTGGTAAGAAGATTATCTAACCGATTTCTTCTTTCAGGACTAGTACTCCTAGCATGATGAGTTCCTAAACTACCCCCTCAACATCATTTGGACAGAATTCTCCGCCTCTTAATGAGGAACCAATTTCACCTAACACTCAGAGGCCATAAAACTTGAGAAAAAACATTTCTCTAGAAGTTGAAGGTTTAAGATTTCTAACCTCACGATAGTGCAAGAAAATGAATAAAAAATCATCTCTCTATCACGGGAAGCAGGAACACAATGACAAGATAAGCAGGAATAATAACAGGAAGACAACTGAGAAAATGAATGAGAAAGATGAACAATGACAGGAAGACTCCTAGATTTTCAGATGAAAAATGTGAATAATGGATGAGAAAGATGACAGAAAAGCTACTATTTATGGTAATGAATTGATTGACCCTGCTGCTGCGCTATCTCCCATTCATGCACCTGCCATGACAAATACTCCAAATGGCAAGTCACAATGGTACAACTAAGTTACCTTTGCGGCAATAAATGAATAAAAACAACAATTCAAGTCTCCAACGACTCCACTTCATCCTCTAAAGTCATAGGAAGCATGAACAGAGACAGAAACAAACGTCATGACAAGTCACGAGAAGCATGAACAAAACCAACAAGTCACGAGAATAAAATGTCATTCTGCATCTCACGAGAACAAAGATGTGCAGAAGCAATGAAACAAAGCAAGTCATGACAAGGAAATAAATCGAGCCATAGAAAATAAATAAACAACGAAAGCCATGTCAAGGAAACAAGAAAGTCATGGGAACCGTGTATAAATAAAGAATGACAAGACGCGGGAGCAAAGATGTCAAGGGAAGGAATAACAAGTCACAGAAGCTTCTCTACAAACAAAAGCTGCAAGTCTTTCTTTAGACCACTCTACTTCTAACACTTGAATGACAAGTTAAGCTGTAAAGGGTTACTATGCGTTACCTGAATTTCTTGTTTTAGAAGTCTTCAATGTTATACTTATGGAATACCTTGTTTTGCAAGTTATCACCTCCGTAAACAATTTATTTTATTGGTGAGCTACATGATCTTCACAGTGAAGCAAATGTTTTTTATTATTTTATTTTATTTTTTTATTATTAATATAAGTGTTGGTGTCAGTTTTGTGCAGCATCTCTAATTTAAATTCACAAATTTTAAAATTAATAATCATACAAACCTTTAATAATCTAAAAAACTCAAATATGTAATCATTACAAATAAATTTAATATCTAATTATTTAAGTTATCCCTTTCATTATTTCTCCTATCAACTGAGGATGTACAAGTACTCAATGAATCATCAAGTATAAGAAGACATGACCCAACAGATCCAATACCCGTACATAAAGCTTTTTCAAAATCATAATCCATTATACTTCTGTCATATCATACAAAACTGTTCTTTTTCCGTTCATTAACTTAGCATCAAACAATCTAAACTCTGAAAGTTAGTCAACTAAACAGCCATGAGAAACTCAAATCCATCAAAAGTTTTCACGACATCAGATGGGTTAAGGGTTCGGAACGGAATCGTTGACTGATCTCAAAAACAATTATTGGCTCCTTTTCTTGACTCGTAATCTGTTATCACGTAATTTTATTAATATAAATCGTAACATGTAGTACCGATCATGTTGTAGCAACATGTCATGCCAGTATCTTCAAAATCATGACTTCAATCCCATTGCACAAGGAAATCTCTTCATCTCACCCTAACATAAAACAAAATAAGGTCCCAATTTAGAACACTGGAGATCCCCATCTTCCCTAGACTCCCCCTTTAACTACCTAACGCCAGCCGAAACTTCGTGCGAAATGCCCGCAATTATGAGAGCATTGAACAATAACAGGACGCACATGTTCTTGTCATGGTGAGAATATCGATATGCATGACGAATATGGATACAAAACATAGAAAAGAACTGCCCTGAAAACCAAACATGGAAGATAGATAAACAAGACAAAAGAGGGAAAAAAGAAAAATCAAACTGAATGCAAGCCTAAAGGAGAGCGACCCAAGCCAGCATGATGAGTTAGCCGAGAGCACTCATCAATTTGCAACGTAATTAGTCTCACAGAGAGGGAAGCAAAACCACATTGTTGAAGTGACCTTTAAGTACAAAATGAATTTGGAGTTCGATGTACGAGGCCAAGAAGCACCATCAGCAGAATTTAACCATTTAATGCGGTCTCTAAGGATTCGGAAGCATTTTTCCTATCCCAAAATCCGGTTTGAACACGCAACAAGTAGTGCCCATTACTTTCAAGAAAGATTGGAGCTTTCTTCAGATCCCTTTGTTGATTCAACAAAAAATCGACCAAGACGCTCTGATGCCTTGTTTACCTGCGTTACACGAATTAAAAGTTGTTTGCTTATGCTGGATATAGCTCTGAGCTGACTATGATTTTCAGAATATTCTAACATAATAATTCCATGACATCTTTTCAAACCTGTTCGTTCCAATCAATCTTCCATGTAAGATAGGATAGCAGAAGTGTTTGGACTACGACTCCACTCAACAATCCAATCCACAAACCCTGTATGTCCAGAGAAGAAATTAACAATTGGTAAATAAAACACTTGACCGATTAGCGAAGTGTGAATAGTCATTACTAGACAATCAAATTCATGGCCTTAGCTTGATTCTCCATTCATAATTTGAATGTTAAGCATTAGATATCTTATGATATCTTGACAATATTGTTCTCACATACCGTAACCTGAAAATGTGCTACATATCCAAGCAGAATTCCTATGGGCATCCCAATAGCATAATAGCTCCCCAAGTTGACAAATGCAACCATACTCTGCACACCAGCACCAACAGCTACACCTGGAGAAGGAATTTTAATTGTTAAGATTTACATTACCAGATGTGCGCTTGCCCTCGTATATATATTGCAGGAAACACCAGCACTTGACTTACTTTTGTCACTATAAGTGATGGATCATATAATTGCATAAAATAAATTCTGATATACTTAGAATTAAAGCTGTGCACAAAATAGACCGGAAAACGTTCATATAGTATTTGCATATATTAATAGAATTAGAATGAAATACTTGCCTGAGAGTACTGGATAAATACTATTCAGCAACATTGAGAATGCAAGTAGAACATGAAGCCTGGACACAGATTCTGCTACTTCCTCACTACTCGTAAACAAATATGAAATTTCTCGACTAAAGATCAAGCACAAAATCCAGAAGATAATCCCAATAATTATCGAAGTACCAAGGGCAACCTTGATAGAAAATTTTGCAGCTTTGGCATTGCCCATTCCCAATTCATTTGATATGCGCACACTGTACGAAATGCACATACATAACATTTTATAATAGAGATCACTTGCTTCAGAAACAGAGATATAGATAGACAAAACGAAACTGAGTAGCATTTCTAATGGTTAAAGCAAATACCATGAAGAACCTAAAAACCCAAGGCAGATCATGAATTCCCATCCATTGATGTTGAGGCTGCAACAAGGAATTAGCATAAATCATCTTCTTTTCAACAGTTAGAACTATGTAGTGCCGAGCAACTGTATTGAGATTTGCATAACAAATTCTTACCAAATGGAGAAAGCAGATATTGCAATAGTTGCATTCTTCATATATCCAGCTAACACGACAAGAATAGAGGAATACCATAATTCTAAGCTGTAAGGTCATAGCAAACACAATTAGAAAGCGAGTGGTGGCTATCGAAATAAATGAACCATAAAGCATTAGCAATCTTAAATTGATACTAGTGTGTGCTAAAACAAGGCAAGGATAAGTTCGTGATCATGATCAAAAACTTGGTTCCGTTTTTGCTGTGCTTAACATCATTAAGGAATCAAGTATTTTGTGCATAAAAACAATCAGCCGAGTTAAATTCCCATACGAGAAATGGAATAAAAAGACTAAATTGTCAAAATTGGACCTTACCAAGTCATGACTCCGGAGGATATTGAGAGCTTTACTAGAGGTAACATATCAGCAAATGCAGCTTTAGTCAGGGCTTTCCATGTCTGAGGCCACCAACCTCCAAAGATGTACACAAACTCTCCAATAACCAGAAACCAAGATGATAGGATGAATGCACTCATGGCACCAGGAAGTCCAAAACCAAGTTTGATAACAAATAACCAGGACAAAAGCACATGAAGCAGAAAGGAGGAAGCAGAAAACCACCCGACAATCTTGTTTTTTTGCTGTGCTTGCAAGTACATTTGGATGGTCAAGCTAAAGACAAAATAGTAGAGGACGGGAATGAACCAAAGGGAGATTTTTCCAGCTTCTATAGCTATGCTCTCCTCTTGCCCAATTAGTCTTAATATCGGCGTTGTAAAAATGAAGAGGGGAAGCAAGATGGTTGCAGTTACACCATCAATGATCCATGATCTCTGCAAGTAAATACCCATCATGTGGTAGTGTCCCGCTCCATATGCTTGCCCGCATAAGGTCTCAGTCGCACTTGACATGCCAATCTTCCATGAGAAAGGAAAAACTTCGGTAAGTAGATTATTGAAATAATTGTCTTTACCTTACATATATTTGGAAGATCACACAGGTGGCAAGACATGTAAAATAGGAAGGAGACATCGATTCATTCCTCAATTCAATGGCTACAAAGGGGCTAATACCTCTCTCTCTGTAATATTTTCAAGTGAGTGAATGCTAATCTTGGTGTGGCTCCAAATTGTTTCTTATGCTGATCTTACGCGAATGACCACAATATGTTAAGAGGATACGTACCAATATGCCATTTACGAACCGTAGCAAAATGCTCTGCTGTAGGCCAAACGCTGCGAGATCCAATTCGCTAATGTGCCCCAGGAATAACTGTGTCACCACAATCATCCCAAATGAAGTCACTCGTGCTACTATTCCAGGAAATGCAATCCTCCATAGCTTCTTGGATTCATTCCAGACCCTCTTCTTCAGGTCGGCCCTGTCAAATTCATCCGGCAAAAGAAGCCTCTCTTCCGTTGAATTATCCATGATTCTGTAAGAAGGAATGCTAAACTTGTTGATTTTTCAAGTTTCCTTTGTTGAATATAAACTTTACATTGGACACCTTTGTGATATGCATTTACAATTGAGATGTGACCATATATTCATCAAGACCACATGAATCTTTCATATCAAGTGGATTTCCGCAAGATTCATGCAATATTGATTGTAATAAACAGGAGCGTGTCTTTTCAATCAGAAAACTGTACTACCAGAAGCATGAATCAAGCTAGTCGTCACAAGTGTCTATCCCACCTTTAGAATTCTAGAACCATGGCTCCATGTAGTTAAGAAACCAGCATCGAAGTCATTATGAGTTGCCTTATAGGTACCAACTATATTATGCTGGCATGAGAAGGGATATGTGTGATAAATAAATTAACTCAAATTTTCAAATGTGGTGAAGCAATATTTATTAATGGCTAATGGGGCAATTTGTATATGTGCGTGAAAAATTTAAAAGGATAAGTTAAGAAAATGATAAAAAAAAATAATTGAAAGAATGAGGGTCAAACTAGATTAAAAAAATCAAATAAAAGTAAATATTGTAGAACAAAATTAAAAAAAAATCAGGGAAAGAATAAAAATATAGCAATTAAAAGAATGAAGATAAAAAATAAATTAAACAAATAAATACAATAAAATTAAAATAGATGAAATTGTAAATAACAAATAGTCAAGAAAAGTATAAAGCATAGAAGTAAAGAAACCAAATTAGATAAAAAAAATCAACTTGAAAAAATATCCAAAAATAAAATTGAAAAAAATTCAAACTTCAAAAAGCATTAAAAGCCAAATAAACAATAATTAAAATAAAGAACAAAATTGATTTTAAAACATAAAATATTTAAAAACTTAAATTACCAAGTCATCCCTAACAAAACCTAAAAATACAAAACAATCTCGCAAATAGCCTTTTTTTTTCAAATTACAAGGTTAATTCCATCATTTACTATTTAAAAAAAGAAAAAGATGGAAAAGTCCCTCTATGCATGTATATATTTTTTTTTCTCTTCCAATAGCATAACTGTTCAATTTTTTTTTTAAATGACACCATCGTAGAAGAAAGGCTAGGAATAGAGAAAGAGCTGGTACTTTCTCTGGGAACTCTCTTCTTATTTAATTTAAGGCTCATGGCTTCCTTGGATGCTCTATGGAGGGATATAAGACTTCTCTATCTCCGTGACTTCTTTACCATGGTACTCTTTCTATGGAGGTAATTGAGTAGACAAAAAGAAAGGCACTAGTTCAAGGTTCCTGGAAAGGTGTAGATGCCTCTGTCTATTGACCTGAACAACTTGTCAACACTCTTACCTAAAGATTTTTTATTATTATTATTATTATTATTTTTTGCTTATGAAGGCAAAATGGTCTTTACATGGTAACAAAAATAAAGGAAAGAGAACGACGCACATTCCCAACACCAACACCATGGTTGAAGTGGGGCTTTGGCCACCACATGGTCCCTCAAGCACCATTAGAATAGCACGGCGACCATGCATATATCAATAAAAAAAAATTTAATAATATTTAAAAACTTAAAATCACCAAGCCGCCCATGACCAAACCCAAAACTAATAATAAAACCAGTTAAAAAAAATCAAAACACCCTCGCAAATGTGCTTTTTTTAAAATTGCAAGAAAACCAGTTAAAAAAAATCAAAACACCCTTGTGCTTTTTTTTAATTGCAAAGTTAATTCTGTTATTTTATTGTTTTTTTTAGAAAAAGACAAAGAAACTCTTCTATGCATGTATAATTTTTTTACTTCCAAGGACATCATCCTAACTCAACTATTCATTTTTAAAATGACAAAAGAGCCCCTCACCTAAAGATTGTTTTTTTTGTTTCATTATATTATAACAAAATAAAACATGTCCAGACTATTTTGTTTCTAATCAATTTGGTGATGATGAATGTATCCTATGGAAAAGATATCTCTACCCTAAATTACAAGTTTAATTAGTTTTTTAATTTT